ACTCACCCCGTTGTATATCGTCCCATAGCTGTATAACCCCCCATGACGTACCCGCCTGTGCCGTCTGACAGGCCTTTGTAGTGAGCTCCTTGCGGATCTTCTCCAGCTCTCCGAAGGACTTGGGCCGGAACACCAGGTGGTCATTGCTGGCGATATCCTTCAGCTCTTTGAAGTCCGCGTGTTTGCCGACACCCACACTGATGACGTCAACACCTGTGGCCTTGAGTTTCTTGGCCTCGCTGTGGGTGACATCGGCTGGAGCGGAGAGATCGAACAGTTTGTCAATCACTAGATCAATCACTCAACTCAGACATCAATCAATCAACTATCAGTCAATCAATCAATCAATCAATCAATCAATCAATCAATCAATCAATCAATCAATCAATCAATCAACCAATCTATCCATCAATCCGTCCATCCATCTATTCATCCATCCATCCATCCATTCATTCATCCATAAATCAATCAACCAATCAGTCAATCAATTAATCCATTAACCCGCCCTAACACGTATCTCCTTCCTGCTCCCTCCATCCTCCGATCGACCAACAAATCTGTCCGTCAATCCACCAATGTATCCGTCAGAGAAAGCCCAGTTCTACCTTTCAGGTCATCATCATGATTGAGCCAGGGACACATGACGGCAGGCTACGAGAGTCTGATCTCATGTCGCCAGCCTCCTAAACTATATAAAATATATTACTCAGAATTCTGCAAAAAGTAAGTGGGTGGTTGGTGGATGTACTGGTGTGGTTTAATCCTTCTTTCCCATCAAACATCAATCGTCCTTCTCCCCTCCTCCTTTCCTATCAAACATCTATCCTCCTTATCTCTCCTCCTCCTTTCCTATCAAACATCTATCGCCCTCACCTCTCCTCGTTCTTTTCAATCAAACATCTATCGTCCTTATCTCTCCTCCTCCTTTCCTATCAAACATCTATCGCCCTCACCTCTCCTCGTTCTTTTCAATCAAACATCTATCGTCCTTATCTCTCCTCCTCCTTTCCTATCAAACATCTATCGCCCTCAC